GCCAAAGGGCTGGACAGCCCACCCCCGCCAACAGCCAGCAGAACTCAAGAACACAGCGGCGGCCCACCTGCATGTTCGGGTGGTCGCCGAACAGCTGCCGTGCGCGGGCCGCGCTGCGTGTCAGAGCGCGCACTTTGTATCCGCGCTGCGTCGACAGCATGGGTCCAAATTTCAAGACGGGGGGGAGGCAGCGGGGGGCGGGGGGGTTGCGGGGTTGAGGCCACCCGAGCGCGCTGCGACAAACAGGCATCAGCTGGAGGACGCGCAAGTAAACAACGTGAGATCGGCACGGCCGGCAGGCACCAGCTGCAAAGCGCATTACTGGCTGGGGCATGGGTCGCACCATCCCGCTGCTGGCGCTGACACCCCACCTCCAAAAGCTTGGCTGTGACCAGCTGCCCCACGCCGCCCGTCGAGCCTGCCACCAAGACGGTCGCGCCAGGCTCCTGCGCACGAGGGTCGAGGCGACACCCGACGTCGCATGCACGTTTGCGGCAGGGCGGCCACACAGCGTGCGCCCAGTGCAACTAAAATCCGTCGCGCACCACGATGCCGGCCTCCACGCGCAATGCCAGGGATCTATGTGTCCTTCTGGCCATAACGCGCATGGCTGGACCCGCCCTGGTGCGGGTGAAGGATGTCCATGAAGCGCTCGAGGTCTGCATCTTGACGAGACAGGCGCGAGTGAAAAGCAGGGTTGATAGCGCAGATTCAATTGAAATTATGGCTCGATAATCGAAAACTTTAATGCAGTGCGAGCAGCAGGCACTCGCGAGTCACCGCGCATCCGATCCGTCCTTGAACAAGCAGCGGGGCATTCGTAAGCTTTTACAAATACTTTGGTTACCGAATGATACGTTTACGAAAGCGTGAGTTGGGCTCTGCTGAACCTCGGCGTCGCTGACTGGATCACACGCAAGGCACCAGCTCAGCCCCAATCAACTCATATGTTCCTCCCCAGCGTCCTTCGAGGAACATGGAGCCTGTTGGTTCCCTCCTTGTCAGCCGCCCTGCCCTTGGCTGCGAGTTCAATCGCTCGCTCGGCGCACTCGACCGCGCCCGTCGCGATCGGCACCCCGCTGCCGCGATCGCTCGACACCGGCGGCGACGCATACGCCAGCAGCGCCGAGTCCATGGGGAAGCTGCTCGCGGCCATGCGCGCGGAGGTGGAAAAGGTGCACGCCGGCGGCGGCGGCGAGGCGGTGCGGCGCCACAGGGCGCGCGGGAAGCTGCTGCCTCGGGAGCGCATCGACGCACTGCTCGATGAGGGGTCCCCATTCTTGGAGTTGTCACCCCTCGCCGGCGACGGTGAGGGCGCGCCTTGCGTGCGTTGCAGGGCAGACCGGGGCCTTCCCGCGCGCTTGGGCGTCTCGACCCTTTGTTGGGAGGGTGAGGGGGGGGTCAGCTTCATTGTTGCTTTGTGCCCTGGATTGCGGATATCTCAAATGGATTTGGGAATGCAAGGTGATGAGAAAAGTCATGGAAGGGTTGACAGTCGCCCCAGTTGTGTGGCAAGGGCGCGTGGGATTTCGAAAGCACCTGCAGCGCGCCAGCGGGAGGGGGGGGGGCGGCGCCGCCGCTGTCAGGCGTGGGGGTTGGTGGCGCAGACGCCGCTGGGACGTCAGGTGGTGCGGGGTGGCTGTGCTCGTTGAAACAGGTGCATGCCAGGCACCCGCCGGTCCGCGCCGCGGTCTCAAACAGGGAGAGGCGTCGAGCAGGGCAGCATCGCGTGCGGTGTATAAATACACTCGCACAGATGCACCGGTCACGAACACATTCTCCCTCGCTTTTCCTCTATGTCTCACGCGCTCTCTCCCCCCCCTCTCTCTCTCTCACACACACACACACACACACACACACACACACACACACACGCACACACACACGCGCACACACACACACACACACACACACGCGCACACACACACGCGAACACACACACACACACCCTCAGCAAAGGACCACGTCCCAGCCGGCGGCATAATCACCGGGATTGGCCGCGTGCGGGGCCGCCTGGTGGCTGTGGTGGCCAACGACGCGACGGTCAAGGGCGGCACCTACTACCCCATAACGGTCAAGGTGGGGCGTAACCCGGGTGACGCCGTGTGACTCACTCATGGGGTGACATGCCCGTCGAGCGGTCTGGACCTGGAATAATTGCAGGGGGGCTGGGCTGGGGGCAGGGAGCCGCTGCGGCCCCCCCCACCCTGCCTCTGCAAGAGTGACACAAGACATCCAATGTTAAGCAGGCAGTGACAGAACCGTTGTCATCCCACATTTAACCCCGCCTGCCCTCTCCAAGCAGCTTCCTGCTTCACTTCAGTAGTGCAGCCTGTTGGCCCCTCCCTTGCTTACCCAAACGTCATGCATCCCCATCGGCCTCACATCACCCCCTCCTCCCCCGGGCGCCGCACCCCCAGAAGCACCTGAGGCTGCAGGAGGTGGCAGCTTCCTGCCGGCTTCCCTGCATCTACCTTGTCGACTCTGGGGGCGCCAACCTCCCGCGCCAAGCAGATGTCTTCCCGGACAGAGACCACTTTGGCCGCATCTTCTACAATCAGGCGCGTCGGGGCGCCCCCACACACGCGTCGTCTATACACGCGCATCGATCTACACGCACACACGAACATACTAAGACATGCGCGTGCTTTTGGCTGGTGCGCGTGCGGTTTTCTCCGGCGCCCGCCAGCGGCTGTGGGGTTGGGACCACGCCCCTTGAAGCGGTCTGACATTTCTGTGGCCGCCCAACGCGGTTTGGCGAGCCTCTTCCCGTGCGATCATGTTGAAAAAACACCAAACTGCTACACAAGTCTACAAAAGCACCACTGTTAGCACTCAAGAAACGCTACAGCGCTGATGTATTGCTAGCACCCGGGAACTCACGCCCCCGCCGTTATGCCTGGACCCTCAAAACCTTTGCGGCTGCAGGCGCGCATGTCTGCGGAGGGCATCCCGCAGATCGCGGTGGTGCTGGGCTCCTGCACAGCCGGCGGCGCCTACGTGCCGGCGATGAGCGATGAGGCCGTCATAGTTAGGGGCAACGGCACCATGTGAGCCGCGAGGGGAGAGGTGTGTGCATGCTTGTGTGCATGCGTGCTTGCGCGTGTGTTTGTGCGCGTGTGTATGGGTGTGTGTGTGTGTGTGTGTGTGTGTGCCGCACGCGTGTGCGACCGTCTGTGTGCACGCTTGTGGGCGTGCGTGCACGTGTGCACACGGGTGCATGTGTGTTTGCGTGTGCGACGCACACGGAATGAGGACAGGTCGTCGTGGGTCGTGACGTATGGATGGGCAGGCAACCGATTGCTCAGGCCGCGAAAACATGCCCCTGCAAAAATGTGATGTGCAAGGCTGCCAGCTCAGCAGGGGGCCCCAACTTCGCGATTCCGTTGAATCATGATCACCACCACCACCACCATCCACCACTCACCAGAGTTGCAAACCCTGGAAGCACCAGCACCGCGCTCAGCATTGTCGCCCCAAACACACACACACACACACACACACACACACACACACACACACACACACACACACACACACACACACACTGGCCCTCGCCCCTGCCCCCGCGCCCCCGCGCAGCTTCCTGGGTGGCCCGCCCCTGGTCAAGGCCGCCACAGGGGAGGAGGTCAGCGCGGAGGACCTGGGGGGCGCGCTGCTGCACTGCACCACGTCGGGTGCGCCCCCCTGCTTGCTGTTGGTGGGACGGCAGAGGACCGGAGAGGTTAGGATAAGGGGTGTGCTCAGCACTGGTGGCGGGACCTCTTCCGCTCGCCTCCACTCGAACCGAAGTAGTGTTGCTGCCGGCCATGGAGCACGTATCTTACACAATCCCAAATAGCCCGGCAGCCGCACTCCCGCCTTGTGCCGTCTGCACCATTGGTGCATCGTGGGCGTTGACTCCCCTACCCCATCCCAACC